CCAGTTGTTAGCGAGAGTACAATTTGCCGAAATACATTAACTTCTCATTTACAGCAAGATGTACTCTGCTGACACTAGAACACGCAAAGGCTTTCCAAAAACATTGAATAACGCATAGTCCCCACTCGTACTGACTATCTCTGATTTTCTCATACGTTTGAACGATGTTCCTAAGTTGTAAATGAACTGATGTGATTTTGTTACCTGGTCTTTGGTTCCGGCTGGTAATAACTGGCATGCTCTGGTAAGTTCTGCCTTTATTTCATCCTCAGTCTTGCTTTCCTTTATCCAATTGTCGATTTCAGTTACCGCCCATTGACAGATAGTGCATGGAACATCTCCCTGGAATACAATATATATCAAATATTGGATGTGTCGGATACTTGCTCTCGAGTCACTTACTCTATTGATTTTGTAAATACTAAAATAAAATAAAAATACAAAACTGACGACTTGTATTTTAATCAAGTTATATACTCGAGGCATTATTAGTAAAATTTGGTTAATTGTCGATTTAACAAATAACAGAACACTTGATCGCCGTCACCTGCATGTACAGGGGTATGGATGGGGTGAGGGTACTGCGGCATGGTGGCGAGACGTACGAGCCAAAGCAAGTATGACTGAATTCAGTTACTCATGAACGTGGTACAGATGGTTATCTACATACTCGTGGCAAAAGACTTTCAACACTTTGTTGGCATCATTCTTACCATAGCTTCTTTATTGAGCTCGTCTACTGGTATCTTCGAAGGCTTGATTTGTTTCTGGATATTCTCAATCAGTCTTTCGGGTTCTCCGATATCTTTAACCAGTCTCTCGGATTCCCTGATATCTTCCTTTATGTTCTTATAAAACGTGTTCTTCTTATGACGCCCTTCTTCCGGAATTTCGGGGTAATAGTACGGTTTATACAACATGGCGTCGTCAACACATGACCCAATACCTGGACATATACTGCTGGGTTTCTGGTATCAATTTAATAATATATGATCAAAAGTTACGTATACTGTATTTATAAATTATTATCTTTGTTCACACATAATCGGAATCGGTAATATGCATATGTGAAAGCTATGTCTCTCCATATGTTCCTTTCCTATTCTGTCCTAGGAACACACGCTATGTACCAACTATGCGGTCTTATAATTGAACAGGTTTTTGTGTATTTTTTTGATGGCCGAATCAAAACAGGGACTTAATCGGAATTTGGATGGGTACAAACATTGAGATTGGATGCCAAGTTATGAAGTATTTTGTGAATACATGATGATATATAAAAAAAAACACTAGCTCAACAATCATGGCACACTTGTGTAATAACATACACAATTTAATCACTGATTTCTGTAAATTTACCTTTGCGCTCAAAACATAAATGTAAGTCATTTTGAATTGGGCTAATAGGTTTGAAGATTTGAGGAAAAAACCGTGTCATACGTTTACACGGGAAACTGATTAATTTGTATTTTAATTTAAAATGTTTGAGGTCTGAAGTAAAAGAATTTTGCTCATTAGTTAATATATATATTGATATGGTTTATTGATATTTGAACTTATCTTCGAATAGTGGGATAACCACTGATGTGGCATGGGAATCATACTTGAACGAAAAAAATACGCACAAAGATCTTTCAAATAATACCATACATAAATATTCCTCCTGCTGACGTCACTTACTCATCTGATTCATGAACTAAATTCAAAACTGTCAAGGTACGTGAGCAAACATTTTGTTAATCAAATGTCCGGCGGAGGGTTGTTAATACGTAGTTTTATTAGTATGAAAATTTAACACGTGGTAACGTTCAACCAATGAAGACACGCCTTACCTCTCCTTGTTCTAGAGCATCTAATATATCATCGATGTACCTGTAGACAAGAGATGAGCATTTTTGCACGCATAGATCCCTTCAGCAATTCACATACATCTAATACATCAGTATACACTTTGTATCTGGGCCTAATGTCGTCAACAGAGTAAGATGAGATCTCCACAGATGCTTCGACTACCGAATCGCAGATGAAACATTCAACAGCTGAAAGGCGATATACACAAATATATACATATTAGTAAACTGATTTGAATATTTAGCGTTCATAAGCACACTAGTATATATAATTCTCAAGGTTCAAGTATTTAAAATATGTTCTACTACTAGTATATAACCACAATTTGTTAAAGAATTTTGTGTACCTCCTCTCAAATCACGTGACATGTCCATGAGAACTGATACGATACGATGCATTCTAATTTACATGTATATTATTATTTTGCAAATACATGTATTGTGTTTGGACACTCCCGTGTACTACACGACATTGACATTGATATATAAACAAGAAAGTTCGAATCTAAAACTATGAATTGTAAAATGAAATGGTGATACGTCATCGTTTCTTTGTGGCCGTAGTACTTTGATCTCAGGTCACATTGACATGTGCCAAGCTAGAATGTCAAGTGGCATGTAGACAGTTGAGGGCGTTACATTCCTTTATACTTTCTTTCACTGCAATTCCGATGGTTCTCGTGTATTCACGATCACACGAGAACCGAACTTAATCTGTGAGCACATACTTGTAATCTGTGAGCACAAACCTTGTAATCTGTGAGCACAAACCTGTAATCTGTGAATATAAACTTGTAATCTGTGAACACAAACTTGTTATCTGTGAGCACAAACTTGTAATCTGTGATCACAAACTTTGTAATCTGTGACACAAACTTGTAATCTGTGAACACAAACTTGTAATCTGTGAGCACAAACTTTGTATCTGTGAGCACAAACTTTGTAATCTGTGAGCACAAACTTGTAATCTGTGAGCACAAACTTGTAATCTGTGAGCACAAACTTGAAATCTGTGAGCACAAACTTGTAAATCTGTGAAGCACAAACTTGTAATCTGTGAACACAAACTTGTAATCTGTGAACACAAACTTGTAATCTGTGAGCACAAACTTGTAGTCTGTGAGCACAAATTTGTAATCTGTGAGCACAAACTTGTAATCTGTGAGCACAAACTTGTAATCTGTGAGCACAAACTTGTAATCTGAGCACAAACTTGAAATCTGTGAGCACAAACTTGTAATCTGTGAACGCAAACTTGTAATCTGTGAACACAAACCTGTAATCTGTGAACACAAACTTGTAACCTGTGAGCACAAACGTGTAATCTGTGAGCACAAACGTGTTATCTGTGACCACAACATGTAATCTGTGAGCACAAACTTGTAATCTGTGAACACAAACTTGTAATCTGTGAGCACAAACTTGTAATCTGTGACCACAAACTTGTGATCTGTGACCACAAACGTGTAATCTGTGAACACAAACTTGTGATCTGTGAGCACAAACGTGTAATCTGTGAGCACAAACGTGTAATCTGTGAGCACAAACCCGTAATCTGTGAGCACAAACTTGTAATCTGTGAGCACAAACTTGTAATCTGTGAGCACAAACTTGTAATCTGTGAGCACAAACTTGGTATTATATAGTTTATATGGTATCTCAGTTGAGTCAATTTTGACTACATAATTCACTTACTTGAATCGAAACCTCCGACGTCGTCAATCATTTCTATGGTTGCCACATATTCAGTGAATTTCTTAATATCACTGACGGTCTTCTCAAATCGTTGGTCTAATTTAGCAATCTCGTTATCTAACTTCATCAGTTCTTCATCTCTCTTCGACAAGTACCCAGTGCATAAACCCAGACGAGTACATATCCTCTCAGGGCTCTGTGCAGGAAAGGTGAAGTCATATTACGGCACAATTAGTTCAATATAAAATAGCAACGAAAGAAAAAGTAAGAACCAAATTGCAATTTCCCAAAATGTAAATTTTTGGCAATCGGTTTCCTTCAAATCAGTGCGCAGACGACCATACTGCACTGATCGGACACGGTAATACCAGGTCGATTACGTAAAGAATTCAATAATGATAGCATGGATACATTACCAGTTCTGCTCTGATCATTGCAAAAAGTTCATCGATGTGCTGGTCAACAAATTGTTTACACTCTGCAGTTCTATTTACTTGAGTCACCTCACAGGCGCGTTCCAACATTAAGCGAATAAGGGCCTATGAAAAAAACAATACGTTGGTAGAGGTGTCTGACATGGTACCGGCGACCACTCACCGACAATAGTTACACCAACAAGAAGAAAATGTTATATTTGGTCAAACTGTGTTCTGGTGAGAAACATCTAAAGATGACCATTTTCACGTAAACTGTAGAGTGAATCAGTGAAAATCTCTGGTATGAATGATAGAGTAAATTTACCAACTGCAATACAAAATTTACCATTGCTTGTTTCTGTTTACCCTCATTATATAAAATGAGTTGGTCAAGAAACCCTTACTTTAAAAACTTAGTGGTAAATGCTGACAAATTACGCAGCTTTTTTCGGAGAAAGGTTTCATATGATATTTGAAGAACGAGTATCGAAAAAAAAAACATCAACGTAATTTGCATATTTGAGAAATAATATTTGCTTTTGTTTGTTTCACCCACCTCAGTTTGATTACTCGCTACTCGGTCGTAGATCAAGTGCGTTACTTTAAGACATGTGTCACACAGAAACGTCTGTTGTTCTTCTAACGACTTGCCCGGTACCACAACGGGGCCTTTGATTAGATCTACTTTCACGGGACTAGCCGAAGCTGAGTGTAAACATACAAAAACGTTTGATCAATTGCTTGGCTTTATCTACCCATCTTACCTTTCTAAATGTATTTCATCCAATGCACGCAGAAATTAACGCAATTCCTTACAACGTGTAATGTCCATTAAAATAAACCCTATGCATTGAAAGTTGAAAATGACAAAAATATGACTTTAAATTAAAGTCAGCAATGATATAGTAAACATCGTATAGCGGGGAAGTGATATATAGTCTATATAGTTTCTAAATAGAAACTATTTATATAATGTGCAATGAAAGTAACGTTCGAAAAACATGAACTATCATATATAGTTACGCTTTGTCTACAATTAAGAACAGTATTATTTCAAACTTTGTCGAGAGCACGTGTTTTTTGTTGTTGTTTTTAAATCAGAAAGTAATTTAAATGAATTTATGTTTTAATGTTTCAACAAATTAAAGCAATTTGAGAGTATGAAATTGTTCGCTGCTAGGTGGTTGCGATGAGATACTGTGATCTCCTGCTATCTGTGTTGCCCTCCAGAATAACAGCGTTCCTCTGCAAGCAAGAATTTCTTCGTTGTTATATTGCAAGTGGCCATTGACTGTCATCAATTTTCACACTCTGGAACTGTGAGTTTATTTAAATGCACACTTCCCTAGACAATTCCCTATTTTAGTGAATTTATTATGTTTCATTATTGTCTTGTCTACCCCATTCTAGCAGTGAAAGAACACCCCCTCCCTGTCCAGTTAGAGTTATGTGGGTGTCCCTCTCAATATCAACAAGCCATGCATGGCATAGTCCCTGTTAGTTATCAAATTCAAGATATATAGTTTTGTTTATAATGATTAACATCTTGTATCTGATCGTCAAACTAGAACTTGTTCATATTGAGAGATATTGCTCCGGAACAGCATTAATTAAAACAAAATCGGCCATTTTGAATTCATCTATATATCTATATACCATATAAGGATTATATATAAAATTTGAACATAATCAGGCAAAACATGTCAGAGATATGGCCCTAGAAGCGCATTCTTTAAAACAAAAAGGCCGCCAGTCAGTCATTTTGAATCTGATCTGAAAAATACCATGACGTGCATCAGGAGCCCATAATGTCAAATGTATGTACAAGATTGAAACACGTGTGTATATGTATAATATTATGTATGATGTATGTGTGAAGTTTGAATGTAATTGGTCCCGGCATGTCTAAGATATAGGTCCGGACGCATTCACACACGGACACACGCATGCACGCACGCACGAACACATGGACGCACAGAGGTCAATCCGTTCTCGGCCT